GTGTACTCCTATTCGTGCTGGGAAGTTGCCTTCTCCACCGCTGGGCCCGTTGTGTGGAAATGGCACCTGCTGTGGAGGGGACTGTACAGGAGGGAACCCCTGTGGGAAGCCCAGGCGTCCCTGAGGTACCATTGGAGACTCCTGGGATCCGTGCCCCATCATCGGATTGTGTGACATCAGGCCGGGCCCCACGGGGACCCCATGAGGAGGTATATTGGGTCCCATCGCATTTGGAGAGGGCATCTGGTTGTTATGGGAAAGAGGCTGGGTCATTCCCATTGGGCTAAGGGTTGGCATTGGACCCACTGGGTTTGGACCTGAAATTCGAGGATTCTGAGAATTAATGCCCATTCCTAGGGGAGAAATAAGGAATCACATTTAGATAACAGCCAATAACAACCAACAGAGCTATCACAGGGCTTTCTGCAAGGTTACCACATCCACACACAGAGAAAGAAAAAAAAAAACTAGTGCTAGTAAAAAGCGTCAGTAGTGGCTCTGGAAAACGGTATTTTAATCAGAAAATTGATGCCACCTGCACAGCAGCCTCCCTAAGCTTGTTCCTGCCTTACCAAAAAGTGACTAAAGCCTGGTCTATAAGTAGAATCTCAACCCAGCCCACACTTTTACTACTTCCCTGGCAGTCTAGATGATGCAGGCATTAACGAACACATCTGTGGCAGATTATCAGCATATGGACACTTGTCCACTGGGAGGTGACCGAATCTCCTTTCAAAACTCAAGAAGTGACGAATCAGGTAACCCTCGTAAGACTAGGAGGTGGCAATCAACAAGGTTAATGAGCTATCATCATGAACTTACTCAATTAGACAGCTTCTCCAGGTATATTCAGCCACTCTGATTGTTACCGCATGAAACAGACAGCAAAGCTACAGGTAAACTCATCAAGAATTCATTACCAGTTGCTGCTCTCATGAAACATCCACTCATTCCCTCTGCCAACTACATTAATTCAACTGGGTGGAGGTACTACAGCCTACTTTTGTATTAAATATGTACCCACAAACATTAAGCTATCAGCAGGGACTGGATTTCCTCATACAAACACGCTCACCCACAAGACAGCCCAAAATGACAGCATTTTATTTTACTCTAACTCTCTCAGGTAGCGACCAGGACAGTTTCCCTCAGTCCTGGCTGAGGTCACCTGCCATTACACATTCCCTATGTGAAAAGATGTATGTTTTGAGAAAGCACTCTAACACTCTCTTCCATAACAAAGACAATCCACAAACCCCACAAAGACCAGATGATTCAGTGTCAAAAAACAAAACAAAACACACACACACACACACACACCACCCCTCCCCCCCCCCCCAAAAAAACAAAAAAAAACACAACCATTCTATGTCACTGCCTTAAGACAGGGAAAGAATAGTTTCCTCTGGATAACATGTTTTAGGTGTGACCCTTATTCCCATGAGCAACCTTCACTTACACAAGTAATTCCAGCCTGCCCAAGTGGAAATCTCTGCCATACATAAGGGTTTTCCAGATTAGACACTTTCTGAAGAACAGACACTTTCTGGACAGAAGAAAAAAAATGGTTGCAAGGAGAATTTTCATCTCCCCACTTCAGAGAACTGCAACTGCCTTCCTCAGAAACAACCCATGGCTATATTCTTCAAGGTTTTTCCCTCTCACTGTCTTCCTTTGATGAAGCTTCCATAAAAATGACCCTCCCTGTATTGCCTGATAGCTTGGGCTTATGTTTGTTTGAGTTTCTTACCTGGTACACTGTTCATAGGTGGTAAGTTTGGGGAGCGTGCTGGAGGGGAGTCATCATCCGAGCTGGCCACAGTTTTGATGGCATCATGATAGAGTGGTGTAGAGCTGGGCATGGCAAATTTGGACATCCTGGACATCATAATGGAGAGGGGATTCTGGGAGAGGGTCGGCTCTGGAGGCATTGTGTAAGGACTGCTAGAGGGAAGATTTCCAGGGAGAGTCGCAGGAGCAGACTGGCTGACTGTGGAAGGAGGTGGACCACCTTAGGAAAAAAGAGAGAAAGAAAACTACTTCAATTTTTTTTCCTTCTTACCATTTTTTCCTTAAATCACACCCTCTTCTCCTAGAAATCTCAAAAACTAGAAATCCCTTTCACTGCAAGAGACCATCTGACTAAGGCAGTCAATGCCTGTGAAAGCTAACCAGAAAAATAAGCCTGTCGGTCAAGACGGTTAATATTTGTTATCCTGGATTCTGCGCTTCTACTGCGACTATCTTGAGCTTCTACAAAGCCACAAGAAGAATTATCAGATAAGTCTGAAAACCCGACTATTCAACTTCCATACACTGAAGACAGACTTAGATATGAGGTCTAGCCCATAAAAATCAGAATCTATAGTCAATTAATTGTTCCTGCACCCACCAAATGTCAGCTGTAACTCCTTTCCCTTTTTCTTTAGGCAGCATCAAACCAGCACAAAAGACACAGGCAGCACAACAAGAGCTGCAGCAGATATTATGCTGAGACATGCGAGCAGATTTCTGACAGGCTGCATCAGCAGCGATAAGTAAACCCCCCTGTTTATATTTCATTTCAGGTTTTACATATGCATATTTATTATTCATTCCAGTTAAAGAAGTGTTCTCTGCACCTATTAGTTCAACATCATCCCTTGTTTCCCCAAAACTAGAAATCACTGCCCTTCGAATCTCCTTTCTTCTTCACCGATGAATTTCATGCCACCCAGACCACACGGGAAGGAAAGCTGCTACACCCAAGTCGTACTATCACTGAAAATTTGCTGCACGCTCCTCAGCCCCTCCCCAGAAAAAGGGAAGGAGACTAGAGAATACACAAATCCTGCAACGCCGAAACATTCACGCTTCGCAAGAGCGGCGTGTGAAAGCACTCATTAAGCCCAGCGTTTGTTTCTGCCTTGTAGGCACTCGGTCTCACACCGGTCACGGCCTCGGCAGCCACGACGAACACCGACACCCCGGCTCCCCTCCCAAGCACGGAGCCAGGCCCGGCCAGCAACAGCACCAGAGAGCAATGCGGGCAAAGGGCTCCCGGCAGGCCAGAGCCCCTGGGGCTGCTGGGGGGCCAGGAGCAGGCAGAAACGCTGCGGGCGGCCTCCAGCTCTCGCCAAAACGACCTCCCTGCCTGCGGTGGGAAGCCCAGAAAGCACCAACGCTACCTGGACTACACCTAGACAGGCAACGGGCCCACCACACTCAGCAGGTCTTTGCAGCAGCCTTTTATCTCAAAGCGTTCTCCTACCAGCAGGATCTTCTCCACAAAGCTACCACCACCGGGAGCAGAATGGCCAAAAAGCCCTCTGAGGAGACATTTCTCCCATCAACACTCCGCATCTTTTCATACCTCCTGACCTCAGCCTTTCGCTTCCACGTCCTCCGAGCCACCAGCCCGACGCACAGGAGGCACGGTGCGGACCCACCAATGCAACAGGAGCAGGGACAGCGCTCGGCCACCCACCAGACCCGTGGGCCGAGTGCCGGGTGCCACCCTGCACGAGACCTCCTCCGCCCCCTCGCTGCACGCCTCGGGGAAACCCAACGCGAAGGAAGAGCCAAGCCCGGCTAGCAGAGGCGGCACTCACCTGACTCCACGTTCCCCATCATGGCTGGAGAAGACATAGCGAGAGACGCCTTGTGGTTCGGGGGAATCCCAGGGCTCTGCAGAGGGGGCTTTGGAGATGAAGTCCACCCGGGAGAAGGTGCGGGGAGAGACGGAGACTTGAGATGGACAGGAGAAGCAGCAGCAGACCCCAAGACAGGGGGGGACTTAATGG